GGTTTTAAGGTTTAGAGTTTAGGGCCCTTTCGCTCCCGCCAGCAGCTTAGATGAAATCCCCGAAAGGCCCCCACAACAACAGCTACAATCCTTGTGAATGGAGCTTCAGTTCTGTTTTCCATGTCAGCTTGAAAAAGGGTACGTACTAGTACTATAAGTGCCAAGAGACAGATCTTTTTTGTAAGGACAGGCAACACGGGACTACAAATTCAAAGACCCAAAACACTCCTAGTCCTTCTGCTACTTACCACAGAACTTCTTTTTTGAAATCTGCCTAGACTGCCGAAGAAACCAGTAAGAAGGAGCGAGGTTTGTTCCTCCTGAATACAACCCCCTAGGTGTTTGCAGCTACAATCCTGTTTAACCTCAGAGCAAGGACCCATAATTTTGAGAAACTCCCACCTACCGCCATTCAGCTGGGAAAAAGCCTGGAAGTCATCAACTGCTTCGACATAGATGCCAACCTTCCCAGATCTGCAAAAGGATCTGTATATACCTAGATCGCCTCTATGTGGGGGGAGAGTCTTAACTGTAAGAACGGACTTGGGTTGAATAAGGATTAGACATAGGGTTTTCCAAAAAAACAATCTGAAAGGCCTTCAGTTTCAGTTTGAGATGCCCTCAGTCTTACATCGTGTGCTCTCATAGTGCAGGTTGCCCTTAAGAATGCCACCCGGCATTGCGCTAACATGCAAGTCTTAGCAGCTTCTCCATGCGTCTTCAGACTCAGCATAGACAATGGTACTGTAATAGTTCCTTAGGAAGTTCCAGCGTAGAGGCCAACCATTCCTATGCGAAAGTAACAACATTGGGGCAGCAGCTTCTCTCCACTCTACAGTATCTGTCGTCTTCTTCTTCCTCGGATTCTCATGTCTCAAAGTCTGTACTTCGGCTCGCAGAGGACTTCCAGCACTCTCCAATCCCTACCCTGAATCCTCCTGCTCCAGGCTTTCACAACTTCTTGTTTGAACCCCCTTTACTTACTGGGGGTTAGTAAGGAGGAAAGAAACAAATTGTCTATGGATTACATACGGATTCTATTCCCTTTATTCCCTACTAACCACCAGTACCTTTACTTAGGGGACTTGCTAGGGCAACTCACACATGCCAAGGTGCCGGACTTGTTGCCGCTCACCTCGCCGCGCTTGCAATAAGAGCCATGCACAACAGAGATCCAGAAGATCCATATCCTAAGCGCATGTTTTCGGTATGGAGAGCTTGTTCTAATAGTTGCAAGCAGTTGGAGATCGAAATTCCTGATGCCTGTTGTGGATGAGGTGATACTGGTGTGTTCCTGGCAGCTCTGTCGGGAATACATTATAGGGATTGGGGTGATCGTATACAGGAATGGCAAGCGGGTTGACAAGAAACTGTAGGGCTAGGCATACGCTCTCTTCAGACTGGAGCTCAACTATGCATTTTGCTGCAGCCAGTGCAAAAGTATCATACTTGCTCGCACTGGTCACCAGTGCCCTTAATGGGAGAGTCTGGCAGCCGCAGCTGCACCCGCCCACACTCCTACACCCCCCACCACGGCTAGCACCACGGCTGCGGACCCCGCTGCGGCCGCCATTGCCACTGTTGCGGCTGCCATGAAAATGTCCCTTCGGGACCTTGAGGATATATGAGGGTTTCCCAAAATTAGGGGCACCTTTTGGGGGGTCCCTATCATAAGGACTATAGTATATTAGGATCTAAGCGTCTGTGGAGCTGGCCTGCGTCTTACGGCACACCCGCAGTAGAGTCTTTGCACTGGATGTGCTCGTGCGCAAGCCTTGCAGATAAGCGCTGCTCGGGGATATCAGAAAAAGAACTCAAGAAACTGCAGCATCTGGGCACGCCGAGCAACACCGGGGGGAGAGACGTGTCCTGCCAAGTCTGAACGAAACAATGCAAATTGGGGACGATCTCTCACCAGGCACATAAGCCAGCCTGAGCAAAAGCCTTTCGAAGCGCGGATGCCAACGGATAGCCGTGCCGATCTTTCAAGGGAATCCTGAGCACTTCTGTGTACATGCCTGGTCAGAGTTGCTATTCTGAAAGCTCACGTGGCGGTATACCAGCACATACGGGTGGAAGAGTGTCAAAACAAGACCCCTTCCATTTGCTCGGAGATGGGTGGATAATCATAAGTGGGGCTAGCAGTGCCAAGTCTTGCGACCCCGCCGGTCACAGACAGTATTTAGCAAGACTATTCCCTTGTAGCTATAACCCTGTGTACATAGATCTGCCCCGCCCAGAATTTCTTGAAATTACTCAAGCGTAGAAACATCCAAACAGCATAGTAAAACTTTAGTTGGGCCACATGTGGGCACGTGGTTGTGGTAAGGAAGGGGCAGTATACCACCCTAAAGCCTGAACCCTAAACCGGTTTAGGGTTTAGGGTTTAGGTTTAGGGTTTAGGTTTAGGGTTTAGGGTTTAGAGTTTATTGGTACTCAAGTGGCAGGTTCCATATGGTGTATGTGTTGCCAGTGTAGTTCATGTCCATCAGAGGGCAGTCGCCGTAGCCTCAGCTTGTGTGTGTGCGCGGCAATTTTGGCATACCCCAAACCCTGTAAACCCTAAACCCCATAAACTCCGAACTCAAAACCCCAAACCCTATGAACCCTCTAAACCCTAACTATACCCTATAACCCTAAACCCTCTACGAACTGTTCGGGCTTCTGAATCGGAAGCTACTGCTTCAATGACTAGTGTACAGGATGCCCCAGGCGCTACTGGTGTTACTGGTAGCTGCAAGCTGGCATAACCTAAGCCCTCAGCCCTAAACCCTCAACCCTGAATAATTAGTAGCTTCCATTTTCATTTCCGTGATCCCTGTATAACCCCCATATAACCGCTATGTAACCTCCATATAACCTAGATAATTTGCCACCTTTTTCTCAATTCCGAGCCCAAATTTTGAAGCAAGGCACCAAACATGCCGAACTCCATTTCCGGGCCGCCCTTCCAGTAACTCTTCGAGAACTCAAAGAAATTGTAGCCTGGGTGTATTGTAGCTTGTGTTCAGACTGCTTTTTGGGGGCTCTGGGGCAGGCTTTTGCTGCAGGAAGAATGGGTCTAAGCCCTAAACCATGGAGGTTAAGACGCCGCTTACCCCCAAGGCCTTCTATTGACACAAAAACGTGGGATTCAAAAGGGTTTAGGGTGCAGGGTTGGGATTCAAAACTCAAAGCCGTCCCAAAGCACGACCCGGCCGCCCATGAAGTAGGGATATCTCGCCGACTTCGCCATCCTGGGCAGAGCTTTGAGAATAAATGCAATCAGGATTATGCCCCTTAATAAACCCCTATAGCAGTCCCCGAATGTAATCCCTGTATATCCCCCACTTCAGGAGTTTAGACTAGAGGTCATTTGGAGCTTGGGGGTTCTGCTTTGGGGTACGGTCGGCATGGCCATGAGAACCTACAGCAATGTCAAGAGGAAAAAGGTAGCATTGCCGATTGTTGCCGGGTTGGCAATATTTACTGGATGTACTGTACTTGTAAGAAATGCCGCGAAGAGAGCTGCACTTCGGCTGCCACAAAAGGACTGATAATTTGGGAGCTCTCAAAATTGGAGGGGGGGGGCCTTACAGTATACGGGCCCTCATCCCTAAGCCCTTAACCCTCTTTCGTGGAATATGGGGGGCTTTCGAACTACTACAGGAGTCCCTCTGTAGGGATTCTATAGGTGCTATGTTGAGAAAACTCTCACTCGACTCCCTGCTCTCCAGAAGGGAATAGTTTGGGTACTGCCCCCACCCAGTAACAGTCTATATTAGGGGTCCTATTAAGGGCTATATGTAACCATATTATATTTATATGGGGGGACAGTACCCAAGGAATAGTGCTACTAGTTCTTCAGGCTTTTACATGACACAAGCCCTACAAGCCCTTATGTAAACCAACTTGTCATGTCCCACTTTCTTCTCTACTTGATTCTCCATACTCCCTATAAACCCTGTAGGACCCTTGTATACGCATATAGAATCCAGGTAAAAGATGCGTAACCCCTAAATAAGTAAATATGCATATAAACCCCTACATATATGTATAATGTTTTCCATACTGCAATCCAAGCTTCTGCACAGCTTCAGTCAGATCCTGCTCCATGCTGTGGTGGACGCTATGATACTCTCCTATGAACACCTCGGTCCGCGGCTAACAAGGGGGAGGAAATTCCGCAATGTGTGGTCTTCATATCCCAAAACTATCCAGTCCATCTAGGAAATACTCCCTAGCAAAAGCCCCATGATGGGCAATCCCTATGAGGCAGCTGGGTTGGCAAAGCCAACCTCCAATCATCAGACCAAGAGACAGGAACTTTCAAGGTGGGAGTCCAGAAGCTACTCCTGGGTTGCTGTTAAGGAACTTAAATTAAGTTACCATAATGGGTATATATCGTAAATAATAGGGTTTCCCCCAATATAGTAGCTTCAATGAAAGTACTCTACCACTATACCAACTGCCTTAAATCCTTCACCCAAGGGGCTGGGCTTAGAGGTTTAGGATCCAGGATGTGAGTTTTATGTGTTGGGGTTTGGGGGTCTTGACCAGGGTTTTTTCGGGTTTAGGGTTTAGGCTTAGGGGATCCGCTAGCATGGTGAAGTTAAGGATCTATAGTCCCCCTTAAGTAGATAGAATATGGGGTATATGGGGATCTTAAATTAATATACTTAAACCCATATTCTATCTGCTTAAGGATGACTATATAGGTTTAGGTTGTCGTGGGCTTTCCGTTCGGGGATTTGGAAGTCAACTCGAAGCCCATCGGTGTACGGGGGCCCTTGATAGATGGAAAGAGTTATCGGGGTTATATAGAGGTTCTGTTGGGATAATGGACAACTGAATGGAAACTACTATTATGGTATCCTAGGGTATATTCTGGTATATCTTAGTATATTGTAGTAGACTTTTGTACATCATAAAAGTACAAGCCTCTCTTAAGGGATCCCCCATCCCCTCAAGGACACTCCACTCGAAGTTCGAAATTATTGGACCTTGTTAGGGTGATAGGGTGTCCGTAGGCGTTAGGGTGGTCGGGGGGGAGGTCGTGACTTTATTCTCGCGAGGAATGCTGGTGGAATTACTCTTCAAGGGCTAACCTCGGTTCAAAGTATGCCCCCCCCCCCCAGCTGAGCCATAGTCTATAGACGAGTCTAAACTCCTTAAATGGGGGTTATGTAGGGGATTACATGCGGGACTACGATAGGGGTTACAGTATCAAGTATTGCCTATTTTGAGCCCTCAATCCTGCAATTTTGGTGCTTTCATTCCTCGTCTGCATCCTTTACATGTCCTGCAGGCCATGTAATCCTGGGGGTTGAGGGTTTAGGGTTTACTAAGGGGGAAAGGTCACTGTATTCCGGTGAAACGCTCCATGCTACATCTGAGGTACAGTCAGTACCATTCGAACTACGGGAGAGATGGAGGTAGGTAGGGTTCAGGGTAGTCATGGAGGGATTATGATAGCCCTTGAGGATTCTATAGGAATGAGCTGCTTTTCAAAGCTGCCATTGCTTACTGAGGGAATGACAAGGGTGGACATAATTTTCCTTACAATTTGTTATAGTCTAGGTTATGTTGTTTTAGTCCCAATTATAACCCCATGTCTGTTCATTCTAAACGAGAGTTGTCAGTAGCTAATATGATGTTCGCGCTTGTGCTGGCAAGTGTGCAGAACTGATTCTTGAAACATCCCTGGAGATACCAAGGAAGAAGCTTATTGCAGGCCGCTATGGCGTTGCGATCGAGGAGGCGCCACGGGCGTGGAGTCAGACTACTCCGCATGTAGCATGGTAATAAACGATAAAGACAATCTGGGCGATCTCAGATGCGCCGCTCCTTAACTGCACGCCCGAATGGTTGTTGTCCTAATTAGGGGTAGCCACATATAGATCCCAAAGTAGCATAAGCCTTATCATGGGATCCCCAATAAGGTGCCCCTAATCTTCAGGAGAACCCAAATCCTAAACTCTAAGCCATGCTCTGCATCCCATGCTCTTTGCTCTGAAGTCTTCGTTCTAGACGTGAAGCTCTTGATCCAGGGTCTAGGGTTTAGGCTTGTCGAATTCTGGGAGCACATGGAGCAAGCTAGCATCCCAGGAAAGCCACTTATTTAGAATGCCTCATGGAGTTGTGTTTCAGGAGCATTCTTGTTGTTCATTCAGGCATGTCCCAGGCGAATGTGCAGCTCATTCCTTCGGGTCTATTCAAGTCTATTCCGGCGAACATCTAGAAGGTGTCTCCATGAGGAACTTGTGCAGAGTTGCATAAGGTCCTTACAAAAAGGGATGTCGCACTTCGGAATATCTTGTGACGTCTTGGCTTCATGCTGGCAGGGTGATTTGTGGTGGTCCGTCTATGTAACTACGCATCTTGCTAGAAGAAATGAATCCTGCCAACAGCAGCAACCCAATACTTTCAGTTAATCTTCGTAATGTTCGTATTATGGTGCTCCTTGATTCTGAGAGTCTCCTACTCCCTATTCCTAGATTACAACTCGACGTACAACTATGACTACAACCTCTCTAGCAATCCCCTGGCGCAAGACCCCCTACCCTAAACCCTGAGCGCTAAGCCGTTCTTCGAACCGGCAAGCCTAAGCCCCAAACCCGCGAATGCGAATAGAGAGCCTTTGAGGATCTAGCGTTGGGGTCAAGGGTTTAGGTTAGGGTGAGCCTCCCCCGGCCTGTGAGGCGTGCAAAGCCGAGAAGCGGGGGCAGAATGGTGCGGCGGGAGCATCTCGGAAGCCGAAAAGATCAGCATGGGGCTTCATTACTTCGCTGGGTATAGTATACAAAGCCAAAAGGGCTTAGGAATTCAGGCTTTGGGCCTTTGGACTTGAGGCAGCCAATGGCTTTGCGTCTGGAAATCTGATCCATGCAGGAACTGGAGCATAATCTAGGATTAATTAAGAGCGGTGACAGTACTGTAGTAGCAGTAGCAGTACTGCTAGTAAGCAACAATGGAAGGAATGGAGCGTAAGGGTGTTGATCCACTCCCCCAACCACTCCCTGAATCCCCACACCCCAAGCCGGATAGTCATGACTCATAGAACCATGGGATCTTGTACTAAGCGTGAACTCTTAAGGGTAGCAAAGGAGGGAGTGTAGTAGAACATCAATCATAGAAACCTCTGCTTGAAAACTTGCTCATGTTCAATTACAAGTGGGGATCAGGGTTCAGTATGGTTAGAGCACCCTATGGCTTTCACGCGACTGTTTCAGATTCTGCTTCTTAATCTAGCGGGAGTTTTTTTGATTTGATGCTGATGCAATCACTAAGGGGAACCACCACAATGGTCATCTTGCTTTTGGGCCCTTAGCCTGAACCCTAATCCTTGCCACCTAGAGCTTCAGGAAGTGATTGACCTGCTTGCTGAGAAGTGCAAATCACACCCCGTCGGCATCGAGCACATCGTGAAGGCTGCAGAGACACTTGGTACGGGGTTAGAGTTGAGGGCTCATAAGAGCGCCTCCAAAAAAAGTAGGAGTCCCTTTTTGGAAGGTCCGCCCTAGACACAAGGTGAAAATTGTTCATATGTATATATATATGTCTTTATATGTATGCTGCCGTATATATATATATATTTATATCTGTGTGTGTACATGAAAGGGAGGACCCTTCTTTTGTGGAAAGGCCCTAGTGAGCTAAGATCCTATTTGAAAGCCTTGAGGAGTCTAGGGAATGGAGGGTTTAGGGGTCTGGGCTTAGGGTTTAAGGTTCAGGGTTTAGGGTTGAGGCGTTTTAGGGTTTAGGGCTCAGGGAAGTTTAAGGCATCGTAACCCCTATACCTTGCCCAGTGATGCAGTAGTGTCTACTTCCTTTTCCGCTATTTGATTCCCTATGAGCGACCGGCAAGTAGACGCTAAGCCCTAAACCTTATACGTCCTTGTAAACCGCGCGGTTGCCTAATTTTCCGATTGCTTGTCATTTCATCGTCTACTATTCCCTAAGTCCTAAACCCCGCAGAACCCTGGAACCCCGAAAAGAAAAGACCAGAAACCTTAAACAACGTAGTGTCACTGCAAGGAAGACAGAGTCCAAGACGCACAAGGCCTTGGACAAGGGCAAGGAGCACAAGCTTCCGGTCTGGGAGGAGTCCGACTCCTCGTCGAGCTCCGACTGATCTGTGGCCGGGCTCCTACTGTTTAAGGTTTAGGGGTTTAGGGTGTATGGGTGTATGGGTCTAGAATTTAGGGTCTGGGGTAGGGTTCAGGTTAAAGGGATGTAGGACTTGGGTATGATAGAAGTGCCCACAAAATACCCAGAATGGAGAAGGAAATGGGAAAGAACGTGGAAACTGAAAAGTGAACTAGGCTTATGTAGGAGGTATACACGCATTATGTACTAGCAGGATTCGCAAAAGCTACCAATATTGTCATTGTGATTGTAGGTTCGGAATACTGGCATAGGAGCTCTCAAAAGAGCCTCAATGTTATATGGTCAACAATTCAGACCTAAAGTATCTACAAAGCTCCGAATAGCCCAATGCAGTGTCTCAGTGAGCCCCAGGTACATTGGATTTTCTAGGCCTTGTGATGGATTCACTCACCTAAGGTTTCAGTTTTGGTTTTCCAGCTTCAAAGCTCAAACAAATGAGCGCGTTGAGGGTTTAGATGTACGAATTCCCGGGTGTCACTCTGAAGGTTCCAGTCTGGTCGGAGGTACCCGAAACCTTCAACCCTGGTGTTTCTGATTCGAAGAGCTTCTATATAACCCCATTATACTTGTAGTAGTTTCCATTTTTTCCATTATCCCTATATAACCCCAATATATACACCCTATATAACCCTATATAACCCCCAACATTTTTCTGCTTCTTTCTGCCGAGGCTTCCTTTGTGAATGAAGCCGCAGCTGAGCTCCAAAGCCTGAAAAGGCTCATGCAGAGTGAGCCCCCAGAGTGGCTTGAGCTGGGACAAAAACCGGGGTCTCTACAGTTTATATAATTGACACATACTGACACAGTTTATTGGCGTGTGCAGATCATGGGAAGACGACAAGAGGAAACAATGATAACGTAGTAAATTCTGTTCTCTGACGGGAAAAGGGTAACGGTAAGAGCTTGATAACTTAGGGGACCCCCCACCCTGTAATTGTGACCTTAAGGGATAGTAAGGATTATATTAGGGTCCTATTTGATTCCTACTCAACCACTATTGAAGGGTGGGGGGGGGTCCTCCTAGTTGATAACATGTTAAATTGGATAGAAAGCTGGCCCCTAGGTTTTTGGCCCCGCGCACCTGGTAGTTTCTTAGCAGGGGGTTTGACCAAAAAATGGACCCCAATATAAATTGCTCCTTATTATGGGGCCTCCCAAAAACGAGTCCCCTAATTTTTGGAAATGCGCACCCCTGTTTTAGAGAAACTCCCACCTGGCTGCGTGCCAAGAATGGGTCCTTTCATACTCCTAGATCACTGGAATCATGGCAAAGAACATGCCCCTCTCAAAAGGGACCGAAAGCTTGGGACGTGCCCATTTTCTACTTGCTTTGCGCGCCCGCTAGAAAACGACCCTGCATCCAATTGCCTGGCAGGTTAAGGTCAGTAGAAGGTTACAAGGACACCCTCTCTAACAGTGACCACAAAGGGGATGATCATGGTAATCACATTCCTTGGTCCTTATCTCTTCCCAATCTGCCACTATAAGAGGGGGGATCACCTGACCTGTGGGCATTCATTCCTAGATTGACATGGGGGTTTCTCGCTGAGGTCGCCTGGATACTATACTCCCCAAGTGCTAGGACCCTTACCTGCAATCTTGACACGTAGTCATCCTTGAAGGTAAGACCTTGCGACAGAGCCCCTGTCGCGTACCCGAAGAGCTTTTTTTCAAACAGCAAGGGGGTGGCAGGGGAATCCATGAGTTTAGGGTTTGGAGAAACGGTTTAGGTTTAAGGACTTAGCGTAGGGTTAGGTGGAGGTTCAGGCAAGCTTAACTGTATCTGGCTTATAGCTGTGCGTATAGCGCAATGGATTAGTCCGGTTACAGATGGCGTGTATACAGTTACAAGTAGGTTACAATTGCCTTGAAGCTCCAAGTCCCATTTAAGGGCTCGGGCTGAGGTCTTTGTTTGCAGTTCTGTGATTCCGGGTTAAGGGCTTTCCTTGAAATCTTGGGGGGTATGGAGGACCCTTGACAGTCGCCGGTAGCCATTTCTTCCAAGCCCTGTCAAGGCCCTGAAGGCACCCTTATTTTCTGAACCTTGGGCATCCTCAAAGTGCGAGGGACACATCCAAGTTTGAAACATGTCGATCACGCTCCATGTCGGCCTGCTGAGCGGAAGGACGGTCCAGATTGAAACCGAACAGGATGCTGATGTTTGGGTATTCAAGCGACATGCGGAAAGGGCCCTGTCGGTCAGCAATGGCAGACTTGTCCATTCCAGCGGATCAGTGTTGGATGAAGCAATGACAATTAAAGACTGTGAGCTGTGCGATAATGATTTCCTGAACCTGCAAATACAGCCCATCACGATTCAGGCTACTAGAGCAGGTGAGTGTGCGGCGTTTGCTGTGGTTCTTGCCAATGGGTCTGTGGTGACCTGGGGTGATGCTGACTACGGTGGCGACAGCCGTGCAGTGCAAGATCAACTGAAGAACGTGCAGCAGATTCAAGCCAGTTTGAGCGCCTTTGCAGCCATCCTTGCAGATGGATCCGTGGTGACCTGGGGTGTTGCTGGCTTTGGCGGCAGAAGCAGCCGTGCGGTGCAAGATCAACTGAAGAACGTGCAGCAGATTCAAGCCAGTTTGAGCGCCTTTGCAGCCATCCTTGCAGATGGATCCGTGGTGACCTGGGGTGATGCTGTCTGCGGTGGCAACAGCAGTGCGGTGCAACATC